GGAAAGATGGCTGGATATTTTTGTGAATCAGATTTACAGTCCTCTACCCACAGTCCTTTCCAATGCTGATTTATTTAAATGTCTGTACATAACAGACTATAATATGTACAAACTTCATACCAGGGAAGAAAACAAAGGCTGGACAGCTGTTATGTCCAATAGGCAAACTGAAAAGTAAAGGCATCACTATTCCCAAAAGTGCTTTTTAAAAAAAGAAATTACATGTTGGCCTTCAGTACTTACCATTGTAGTAAAACGATGAGCTTTTCTGATATTTGAAACTTATTTTATAGCCTCCAGCTCCCAAAATTAAGAGAATTCTTGTTTTCGTTAAAATTAATCGTTCTGAAACAAAACTGTCTTCCTACAGGTTCATGTCCCACTGCCCTGAAATACTGCTCTGTCCTCCCCACTGCAATGGCAGCACATGCCCCTGCCAAACAGCCCAGAGACGGGCTGAGCTGGGTTAACATTTCCTCAGCAGAGACATTAATAGTGTCTCTCTCCCATACTCTGTGCAGCTGATGATTGTCATGAAATGCATAGGGAATTCATGTATTTGAACTCTTACTTCTGTGTCAATATTGGCTGGAATCCACCAACTGGCTCAGAAGTTATTGCAGACGGGCTGACGGGCAACCCGTGTGCCAGTGCAAGCCCCATTTCCTTAGGAAATCTCACTAAAATCAAAACCCCTCCAAGCTCCTACCTGTCAAGATTTGGAAGAAGAGCTTTAAAATATGATACAGTGCATCCTATGGGCTTATGTACCAGAGTGCAGATTTAGAGGTGTTAACGTTTGAGATAAAAATAAATCCATGACCTAGGCAGACTCATTGATGTGTTGGGATTTGGCAATAGTATAATTATGAGCTGTTTTTTTCTATGAGGTGATTCAGCTCCTACTGATATTTTTCAGTTGTGCTTTTGGATTTTTAGCACTTTGCAGGCAAAAGCCTGGTGCTGAGGGATGCAGAAGAGACACCCGTCTCCCATCCTTTCTCCAAAGTTTAAAAAAAAGAGTATTTACGAGCATTAGTACCCTGTCTGTGAAAAAAACTGTTGCCTAAAAAGGGTGCAGGGCACTGAAATGAACCCTTCAGCTGCCTGCTGCTCCCTCTGACCCCTCCACCTCCACCGCTTCCCTGGGTCTCAGACCTCAGCTTAACTTTAAGCACTGTATGGGCATTTCCTGAAAACATCCAAACTCCATTACGCGTAGTTTTCGGTGCCTGCTGTGGGAAACTATGGCTCTCAACGGGGCCAAAAGCAGAGGTTGTTTTTAAAAGTGTTTCTGCGGTAGAGGATGCTGGGCCAGCTGGTGAAACAAAGAGGACCCCCCCCCCGCCATTTTCACACCACAGTATCAGAGAGGATTAAGGCATGGGCCGCGCCTCCCCCAGCAGGGGCAGGAAGCCGAGGCATAACATCTCCCAAGCCGAGGCTTTTTTCCCACAAAAACGTGAAAATTAACTTAATACTCTACCAAACACCAGTCTTTCCCATAACCTTTGAGAAGCAACTTCCTTCCCTCCTCCTCTCAGCTGTAAGCTGTTGTGATACTTTTCCCCCCCCCTCCCTATAACCTTTCGTTAGTTCTTTTGGCTGGGGGTGGGGTCCGCCCCTTTGTGTTTGTTTCTCGCCCGGCTCCCTCCGAGCGCGGCGGGCGGCGACAGCTCCCCTCAGCCCCGGAAAAGCTTTTCCCGCCCTTTTCCTGAGGAGGCCGTTGCGACCGTCAGTGGCCGCCCCCCCCCCTCCCGGCTTTCCCGCCCTCCACTGCGCAGGCGTGGG